TAAGAGGAACATTCACTAAAACAAAAAGTACAAAAACCAACCATAAGTTATGTCAATCTCTAGCGACCTTAAAAAGGGCACAATCAAAAACTCCTCAAACCTGGATATATCCAAGTTTTAGCTGTCTCAGGATCAATGCCAACGCAGAGGCTCTTGTCGTTATTACCACACTCGAATTCATCGAGATTCGGGTCGGAAACAACATGGTTTGCCTGTGGGGCTGGTTTGTGTTCGGTCCTTTCGATGAGCAGGAGGAGGCTGTGGGGCTGGATGAACATGGTTTGCCTGTGGGGCTGGTTTGCCTGTGGGGCTGCTTAGTAGATTGTCTTTTAGCAGGAGGAGGCTTATGTTGGAAGTAAGCTTGAAGAGCAAGCTTCTAGATTATTCTTTAAGTGAAGTTTTTCTGAAAGAGTTAGGATTAGAAAAAAGGAAATTAGGAGTTGTCTAATTCCTTTAGGTTTAAGAGTTATCTAAATCATCCCCTATAAGTAGTTACCAAAGATGTGGTTTCACTTATGAGTTTTGGGAGCTTTAGTTTTTGAGTTAGTTTTCTAAAGCAATAAAAGGAGAAGCTTTTATTAACCTAATTCTCTAAAGAGTTTAAACTAGATTTGGTAGCAGAGCTTTGCTTACCGATCCGAGACACACGAAGATAATTAAAGATTAAGTCATGGGAGATATTGTTCCTGCAATCCGAACAAAGGAGCTAAGTTCCTCATCGATACAATGTCCCATGTTGAATTCCACAAACTACACAGTATGGGCAATGAGAATGAAGGTTCTACTCAAGATCCACAAGGTATGGGACGCTGTCGAAACAGAATCCGACGAAGGAGAAAAGAGCGACTTGGCAATGGGTTTGATTTTCCAATCGATACCCGAAGTTCTGACCCTGCAAATCGGTAACTTAGATACAGCCACGAAAGTCTGGAACGCCATCAAAACACGGCATGTCGGAGCTGAGAGAGTCAGAGAAGCAAGGTTGCAAACATTAATGACTGAGTTTGATCGATTAACAATGAAGGACACTGAAACCATCGATGATTTCAGCGGAAAGCTCTCTGAACTCTGCTCAAAAGCTGCTGCTTTGGGAACAAGTATCGAAGAAACCAAAGTAGTTAAGAAGTTTCTAAAAAGCGTTCCCAGAAAGAAATATATTCACATTGTAGCATCATTAGAGCAAGTGTTGGACCTAAATACAACTAGCTTCGAGGAGATAGTTGGACGCCTGAAAGCATACGAAGATCGTATACATGGAGAAGAAGAAGAAACTCCAGAAGATCAAAGCAAATTGATGTACGCAAATACAGAATCTCAACCAAACCGAGGTTACAATGGTGAAAATAGAGGCAGAGGTTGCGGAGGACGCTTCTATAGCAGAGGAAGAGGTCGTGGAAGATCTTATGAGCCAAGGGATATGTCAAAAGTTATTTGTTATCGGTGCGACAAAACTGGACATTACGCATCTAATTGTCCAGACAGGCTACTCAAACTCCAGGAAACACAGGAGACTACTGACGAAGAAACTCAAGAAGCCGAACAACTAATGATGCATGAAATAGTGTTCCTTAACGAGAAACACGTGAAGCCAGGCCAGTTTGAAACATCCTCCGAAGAAGATAATGTGTGGTACTTAGATAATGGGGCGAGTAACCATATGACAGGGAACCGCAATTACTTCTCTAAGATCGATGAAACCATCATAGGAAAGGTCCGATTTGGTGATGACTCACGAATTGACATTAAGGGGAAAGAGTCAATACTGTTTCTTAGTAAGGATGGTAAACGCAAGGTGTTAGCGGACGTTTACTTCATACCTGATCTAAAAAGCAACATCATCAGTCTTGGACAGGCAACTGAGTCGGGGTGCGATGTTAGAATGAAAGAAGACTATTTAACTTTGTATGACCGAGATGGAAGATTGCTGGTGAAAGCAAATAGATCAAGAAACCGTTTATACAAAGTTAAGATGGAGGTAGAAAAGATCAAATGCCTACAGCTCATGACGCTAAGTGACTTTGCTAAATGGCACGCACGATTGGGACACATTGGCAGTGAAGCTATCAAAACGATGATCAAGAAGGAATTAGTTTCGGGTATACCAAATATTACAGTGGAAAAGGAAACATGCTCTTCTTGTTTACTCGGAAAACAAGTAAGGAAAAGTTTCCCTCAAGCAACAGTATTCCGAGCTACACGTGTACTTGAGCTTGTTCATGGGGATCTTTGTGGTCCCATTACACCTCCAACAGCTGCAGAAAACAGATACATATTTGTTTTAATCGATGATTATTCAAGGTATATGTGGTCCATTCTGTTGAGAGAGAAGGGCGAAGCTTTTTGCAGATTCAAGAAATTCAAGAGACTTGTTGAGCAAGAGACAGGAACAATCATAAAAACATTCAGAACAGATCGTGGAGGAGAGTTCACATCTAAAGAATTTCAGGAATTTTGCGAAAACTCTGGCATTACAAGACATTTAACCGCCCCTTACTCTCCTCAACAAAACGGAGTCGTAGAAAGGAGAAATAGGACACTTTTGGAGATGACTAGGAGTATCATGAAGCACATTAAAAATTCCAAATTTCTTATGGGGAGATGCCGTGAGACATGCCACATACCTGATAAACAGAGTTGCGATTAGAAGCCTGATTTCGCAGACTCCGTATGAAGCGTTCAAAGGAAGAAAGCCGAATATCGAACACCTAAAGATTTTCGGTGGCGTCTGTTATGCGAAAATAACAAATCCCCACCTGAAGAAATTGGATGATAGATCGCAAATACTGGTACACTTGGGAACAGAACCTGGTTCCAAGGCATATCGACTGTTAAATCCATCGAATAAAAGGATAGTGGTCAGTAGGGATGTTACTTTCGACGAAAACAAAAGCTGGAAGTGGAATACCGCAAGAACAGAAGACGTTGGTGGTACCTTCAGTTTCGGATTCAGAGATCTCGAAACAAGTGAAACAGAGGAACTACAAGACAGAGGAGAAGAAGAAGTTAACGATGAAGGTAACACCGAAGAAGACAATAATCCGGAATTCGACACAGAAAGCTTCGAGTCGGAAGCACAGGTCGAACCATCTCTGCGAAGATCAACAAGACCAAGGAAGAAGCCAAGTTATTTAGAGGATTTTGTGATGATCTCCGAGATGGAAGGAGAACGTCTCCTACTAGCCATGGATGAAGAACCATGGAATTATAATGAAGCAAAAGAGCTAAAAGTATGGACTGATGCATGTAATGAAGAGATGACATCCATTGCTAAGAATAAGACTTGGAGTCTCGTCGATCTACCTACAGGAGCAAAAGCTATCGGGCTAAAGTGGGTTTTTAAGATAAAACGAAACTCCGACGGCAGCATAAACAAATACAAAGCCAGACTTGTGGCTAAAGGTTACATACAAAGGCATGGCATTGATTTTGACGAGGTATTCGCCCCTGTAGCTCGAATCGAGACAATCAGATTCATCATCGCTTTATCAGCTTCGAATGGATGGGAAATACACCATCTGGACGTCAAAACCGCGTTCTTACACGGAGAACTAAAGGAAGATGTTTACGTTTCTCAGCCAGAAGGTTTTTTGATCAAAGGAAAGGAGGGGAAAGTATATAAGCTTCACAAAGCTTTGTATGGACTTAGGCAAGCGCCTAGAGCCTGGAATGAGAAGTTAAATAAGATTTTGGTTGAATTACAGTTCTCAAGATGCTCCAAAGAACCTTCTTTATATCGAAAGGAAGAGAGGAAGCACCTGCTTCTGGTTGCCGTGTATGTAGACGATTTACTCGTCACAGGATCGAGTCAGGACTTAATTTTGGAATTCAAGAAGGGAATGGCAAAGAAGTTCGAAATGAGCGACTTAGGAAAGCTGACTTATTACTTAGGCATCGAAGTGCTTCAACATAAGGAGGGTATTACTTTGAACCAAAGAAGATATGCAGAAAAAATACTTTCAGAAACCGGTATGGGAGAATGTAATGCAGTACATGCTCCAATGGATTCAGGATTAAAACTCTCCAAAGCTGCAGATGAGAAAAGCATCGATGAAAAGGAGTATAGAAGAAACATTGGATGTCTCCGATACTTACTACACACAAGACCTGATCTCTCTTTCTGTGTAGGAGTACTCAGTCGGTATATGCAGGATCCTAAAGAGTCACATGGAGCGGCTCTAAAGCAAGTTTTAAGGTACATACGAGGGAGCACAAGTCACGGGCTTACATTCAAGCGAATGGAGACTTCAGGAGACGATATTGTCGACTACTGCGATAGTAGCCACAATGTAGACATAGATGATGGTAAAAGCACAACAGGCCATATCTTTTACTTGAATGGTTGCCCAATTACTTGGTGTTCCCAGAAACAGGAAACTGTGGCGCTATCATCTTGTGAGGCCGAGTTTATGGCTGGAACAGAGGCTGCAAAACAGGCGATATGGTTACAGGAACTCTTGAGTGAAGTCGCAGGCAAACCTTGTGAGAAGGTGACAATCCGGATTGATAACAAATCAGCAATTGCCCTCACCAAGAACCCGGTATTCCATGGTCGCAGCAAGCATATACACCGAAGATATCATTTTATCAGAGAATGCGTCGAAAACGAGCAAGTGAATGTAGAGCATGTTCCCGGAACAGAACAAAAGGCAGACATCTTGACAAAGGCACTTGGTAGGATCAAGTTCAAGGAAATGAGAAAGCTCATAGGTGTTAAAGATGTACTTCAAGCTTAAGGGGGAGATTGTTGGAAGTAAGCTTGAAGAGCAAGCTTCTAGATTATTCTTTAAGTGAAGTTTTCCTAAAAGAGTTAGGATTAGAAAAAAGGAAATTAGGAGTTGTCTAATTCCTTTAGGTTTAGGAGTTATCTAAATCATCCCTTATAAGTAGTTACCAAAAATGTGGTTTCACTTATGAGTTTTGGGAGCTTTAGTTTTTGAGTTAGTTTTCTAAATCAATAAAAGGAGAAGCTTTTATTAACCTAATTCTCTAAAAAGTTTAAACTAGAGCTTAGTGCCATTGTCCTTCGTAATTGGTTGATGAGCAGAAGGAGTGAAATGGTTCGAAGAAGAAGATGTGTTTGATGCTCTTTTCAGGCAAGCCAAGTCGATTTCTCTGACTGCTGCTTCCCAATCGAACTTCAAGCGTAAACAAAATCGAAACAATCAAAAAACAAAATGAAATCTCGAAAGATCCGGAACGGAACCTCGAAACCCATTTCGGAGAATCACTTGATTTTCTGAAAATTCAGAATAGATTAGATTCGACTAAGTTTTTTCAAATCCTCACTCTTTCACGACTTCGCTAGGAATGGTAGATAACGTCTCTCGGAATCAGTTCTATTCTGAAAGAGTGAAGTTGACACGTGTCCCTGAGTTTAAAAAATTGACCGCCTAACCGATTTTATACCACCTTAAACCGATTTCTTAATTAACTCAACTTAAGTAAAATCGGGCCCAATTACACCCAACAGGAAGGTATCGAACTCACTATTTCGATAGGGACCACAGCTTGGATGAGAAATATTACTGAAGATGAAGACACTTATTTATAGTCCACTTTCCGTCCTTCCCCTTCTCAACTATCCAATTTTGTCGATGTGGGACAAACTAAAAAGTCTACTATTCTAAAACTGTCACTCACTATTGGATATGGGCCACGACCTTGTTGGGAATTATTAATGAGGATGAAGACTCTTCTTTATAGTGCAGCTTCCCCTTCTCAATTATCCAAGTTTGTCGATGTGGGACAAACCAAAATACCTACTTTTAAAAAATTCTCATGGGTATTAATAAGCATAAATTAAATTTGTGTCTTCAGCACACCAATATGTCTTCTAAGTCTATATTTTTTTTAAATTTCATTTTCAAATAAAAATATAATTAAATTTTTATGCAAATAAAAAAAAAATTATGAGACTAATTAAGTTAAAAAGTTTCAAATAATCTTGTATAAAACTTCAACTAATAATATTATAAAAACATATTTAATAACAATTAAATAAAATAAATGATTAAAAATAATAGTAAAAAGAAAAGTATCCACATAAAAATGTCATATATAATTTTTAAAATTTTTAAAAATATAAAATCATTAAACTATATATAACCAAAAAAATTCAAAATGGTAAATAAACAAAATTAACAAGGATTATAATAGTAAGATTTACAATAATCAAAAGAATATGAAGATCGAAGAATAAATAAATATTTTTTTCTAATAAATAAATAAATAAATAATTTATGACCACATAAAAATGTCATATATAATTTCTAATATTTTTAAGTGAACTGTATTATGTTTTTATACAAACATTAAAATAGTAGTTTTTTAGTCCTTTATTATCTTGGGAGAAAAATTAGACTATTTGACACAACTGGTGTAGAGAAAATTACAAATATTGTATCATCAAAAAGAAATCAAAGAAAATATCAATATTTTAAACATAAAATATTAATAGTAAACATAAAATTCAATAGTAATTTTTACAAATATAAATTAAAACAAAACATGCGCATATGCGCGGATTCTCTCCTAGTATTAGTAAAAAGAGTGAAGAATCATAAATTTTTAAGGAAATTGCATCAAATATTAATCAAACAAATTAGAATTAACAAACTAACCAAAAAAATAAACTAAAACAAATATTCTTTATATATGATGTATTTATACTAACTTTAACCTTAACCATTTATATACCCTTATTATCTTTCATCTCTTCTGTTATATTTTTCTCTCTTTACACAGACATGGGTGGTGCAAGGTTTATTGTCAGGCAGCTCCTTCATCCCCTAAACCCAAAATCCCAATCAAGCCAATTCCTTCTGTATATGTGGGATTCCACCTTCAAACTATTTTTCTTCTTATTTATTAAATTCATTGATCCTCCTCCAGCAAAAATCCATCATCTATCTCAACTTTCTCCACCTTTAATAATCCTTAACTCGTTCACGGCTTTGTTTTCTATTGATTCCTTCCATCGACAAAAACATTAATCCTCTTATAGAACTTTCGTTATGCAATTGGTGATTCTTAAATTGTTGAACCTTCAAATATGGATGTAGAGATTGAATTGAATTGAATTGTAGGTGGATCTGAGATTCAGACAAGTAGTATTAGCTGTTAAGAAGCAACTGAAAAATATTTTGTATAGAAATTCTATTTTTATGTATAGAAAGTTTATTTTTGGTGTATAGAACATTGTCCGTGATTAGTTAAGTTATCATGTCATTGAATCAATGGAAGAAGCAGCTTACTTTTTTTTATCTTTTCTTTGACTGTGATATCAGCCGGATATGTCGTCATCACGAATCTCTCCGATCTATTACAACACCCTATACTTCTTCCATTGATGAATCACTACTAATCAGTGGTTATCATGTTCCTTATATTTTTTCCGTCAACGATGCTTTTTACAGAACCAAAAGGCTTCAGGCCACTGGAATAAACGATATAGTATGACTAGTTTTTAATATTGGTGTAATCTATTAAATTTTCTTTTCTTACTGTACTCATCTCCTCTCCCCGTATATTATACTTATCAAATTCATACTATTTTAGAATTGTTTGTATGTTGATCAATGTAAATATTTATAATTTTCAATTCAAATCCTAATATATAATGTATTGAAAAAGTCTGTATATATATAAAACACATAGATTGTCTATATTAATTTAGGCATGTTCTACATGCAACATAATTTTCTCTCTTTTGGACCACTGAAGATGTTGATATAGAAAAAAATTAATATAAAATACAAATAAGTAGATTAACTGATTTTGTTAATAGTTAAAAATATTTTGACTCTCCAAAATCAGTTAAAAATATATTTTGACTCTCTAGTATTTTTTTATAAATAGACCTGTTATATTATTGATTAAATATAGACTTTCTATGTTATTAGTGTCATTATTGACATATGAAAAAAATATGGTTTTGTTTTTTGAAATTAAAGTCATGAGACTTGAAATAAAATCAGTATTTTTGTGGTACTAATATATGGTTGAAGCAGTCAATAGTATGTAAGTTATGCAAAAAAATAAATTCTTCGGGGTAAAAATGTTGGTGTCAGAATAAGTATTATAGATGGTCTATTTTTTTCTTTATTAAGGTTAAAATCGTTCAAAAAGCATCAACAATGTTACTTGCTTAATTATCAGATATGTATGGATATATTCTTCATTTATTATCGAAAATTGGTTATTCACTTAATTGACCCTTTTAAAGGTAACAAACCAGTTCAAATAATTTGAATTTTTGTTGAGTTTCAATGTATGTATGGCATAGTCAATAATTATGTACTTTATTTTTATTTTTATTTGGTGGAAAAGATGATTCACTAGGTGCTCATCGAAAAGAGGAGAAGAAAAATTCAAAAAAAGAAAAATATGTTAAAAAGTCTCAAGATAAATCACTGTAACAAAAAAACATTTCTATCAATTTCAGTTTATTTGCAAATTTATTATTATTCAAATCACATAGTTTGAATTATTTTATTTTTAAATCTACTACAAGTGCAAAAGTTCTACATCTACACAGTAAAAGGTACTTAACTCATTTTATAAATTTTTATGTGAACTATTTCCACTATATTTAACACATGCAATTTTTGTATGTTTATATATTAGAAATGGTTAAGTTGTTAGTCGTAGATACTTAAAATGACATAATTTATGGTTAGTTTATTTTTTTGGATGTTGTAATAGACGCGTGACATTATTATCTTGTTGTTATTTATTTTTCTGTGTTTGTTTATGTGATAGTGAAAGAGAAAGGTAAAAGGAAAATTTCCAAAAATATATTAAAACAAAAAAAAAGATTTCATAGACCTCAGATTATGGAAGATGAGAAAAAACCAAAAACTCCTACTACTACCTGATTGAGAACTATATCTAAGGAAAAGAGGAACAAGGAAAAAGACAGTGAAGAAAAGACTATAGTTGAGTCTAGAACTCCAGAAAAGCCGAGTTTTCAAAAAAGAAGCACAAAAGATATTGTTGAGCATTTAATCCAACAGTTGAATTATCAAAAAGAATATGGTCTTTCATCTATAGCAGATGTTCCATTGCACATTGAAAGTAATCACATTTTGTTTTTCAAATTTTTAAGGAAAAAAACATAGAAAAATCTTGAAAATGGATCTTACTCCCCATTTGAGCCTCAAAATTTTCTCAATCCTACTATAACAACATCACATAAAAGACATCATAAAGAGATCATCTTTATCGCATTCATTACAAAATTTCACTATAAGAACATACAGTGGGCATTATACTCCTATACTAGTTGTATGACATAGGGACATAATCTCAAATGTAACGGAGAGAAGAGATACATCAATTAACGTCGATATTGATGTTTAAACTCCGCATATCATTTTATTACGTCACAAACATAATACTCCTAGAACTTGATGAAAATATATTAAAAGTGCTCAACTTCAAATGAAACAATTTTGTTCATATGAAGCTATAGGCTTATTGTGGAAAACGAAAGTTGGAATATTTGTGACGTAAATCACATTTGGAGTTAACTTTTTTTTTTTATTGTTAAAAATTATGAAAGGATCTGATGTTTTCAGCAGCAAACAAAAATGGATATCATATTATGAGGGGCACTTAGCGAATTATGTAAGTATTAGTAAGTATGTGAAACACATGTATCTATGAAATGGTCTTTGCTTTGTGTCACTTCTCCGGCTACATTTACCTTTCATGAAGCTAAAGAAGAATAAGAACATAGTGAAGGTCCATTTAGTTGTTTCAATGTTACACGTGTAATGGTATGTGGTTCATTTTCTTTGATGCGGCTAATTTGCTTTCATCTTTTTAGGGTTTTCATATTCTGCTGTACCATCTTCCTTAAATGTTGGTTTTATTTTCTAACTATACATATATATTTGGATAGTCATAATCGACCGAGCAATTTTTTTTCTTGGCGGGAGTGTAATCGTGTGTTTCCCAAAGCTTATATGTCTCCATTATTCAGAAACACCTTCTAAGTTTGTTTGGAATTGTAAAGATGGTTGATGTTCGGATGGAAAAGCTAATTGATTTGTTTAATGGAAGAATAAAAGCTAATTGATTTGTCGAATGGAAGAATAAAAATATGGAAAGATAAAAATATGGGAAAAACAAAGATGATCATGAAGAAGAAGAGAGAGGAAGAGAATTAGAAGAATAAAAACTGGTATAAGAAGACAAAAAAAAACTTTGGCATATGAAAGAGCACCTTCTAATTTAAAATTCTGTGGTAAACCCGTCTGGCCCAGGCGACTTATTATTTGGCATATGAAAGAGCACCTGCTTAATCTCGTCTTCAGTCACCTCCCTAGTCAGCTGCTCGCATTGAAATGTATTGCACTTTATGTCCAGGAGATTTTCGAGGTCCTCAGTCTCAATCCCCTGGAAATCCTTTGGCGTATCAGTAAGAAAATCACTAAAATGCTTCTCTGCCTCAGCTTTGATATCGACTGGATCCTTTAGAACATTCCCATTCTTGTCGACAATTTTCTTAATCAGGTTTTGAGATTCCCGAACACATACAGCCCTAAAGAAGATCTTATTGCTTTTATCTCCAACATTTATCCAATGTAACTTGGATTTTTGTTTGAGATAAGCTTCCTCCAGCTCATAAAGATGTTCCCACTTAGTTAATGCTGCTGCTAAAGCCTCCTGGCTGGGATTGGTTGCATTTGCTTCTTGCTTCTTACACAGTTCCTCAAATGCCTTTTTAGTTCTTTTCGATAAATCATCAAATCTTTTTTTCGAAAGAGACCTTAGAATCAGTTTCAAGCTCTTTAACTTTTTGGTGAGACGGTGCATAGCTGATGTCGAATGAAAAAGTACCTGAGATTTCCCCCAGTGCTCCTCCATCGCTGGCAAAAACTCTCCATCGCTGGCAAAAACTCTCCATCGCTGGCAAAAACTCTGGCATCTTGGCGAGAGCATTGAGAAACTTGAAAGACTTTTTGGTGCGCTGATCATTGTGAGACAAGTAAAACCTTCCACGAAGATGATCTGAGACACCTCCTGCTTTGAAAACTGAATAGGAATAAGGATGATTAAGGAGCCATTCCTCATTCACTAAAACTCGATCCAACTTTTTGTGTATCAGTCCTTCTTGCCTCTTGTTGCACCATGTGAACCAAGGACCATGGTAACCCATATCAATCAAGTTACATTGCCTAACCATTTCCTGAAAATCCCTGCTACCTGACTAGTCCACAGCAGAAGCAAGAGAATGGTCGTCACTAGTCAATACCTCATTAAAGTCCCCACATATTACCCATCGCTTGTTTTTGCAAACAGTGGAGTGCAAAAGCTGTATATCTTTCCACAAACTCAATCTTTCTGACCCAAAATTCGACGCATAAACTGCACTACAAACAATATCTTCATCCTGATCCTCCATCGCCACCAGAACAGAGATCATTTGCGCACTCTTATGAATCACAGTCACCTTCACATCCTCATTCCACACAAACCAAATCCAGCCTAGACGATTATGCTCATAATTTGAAACATACGACCACCCCAGAAATACATAAGAAACGATCTTTTGGCTTTTGTATTCTGTCACTCGAGTCTCCAAAATACAGCCAAAACAGAAATCATTTCCTTTCATCCAATCTCTTACTACTGTATGTTTTGAACGTTTGTTAAAACCTCGTATGTTCCAAAAAATTCCACTCATTATTGAGATGTAGATTTATTGGCCTTCTTTCCTCTCTTTCCCACTGAAGTCTGACCTGAAATGGGTCGTGGATCACCAGGAACAGAAAGGTATCTATGAGCAGATTTAGCTGCACGCGTAAGCGGTGGCCGATGTCCCTCTGCAGGAACTTCAGCTTGCGTCAACTGGGCCTTACTCAACATCGGAACCCCACCTCATGTGTCCCCACGTTCATGGATTGGGTTATCCACTGAATTTTCAATCTCATTCTCAGAACGTATTTCACCTTCCTCCTCATTCGTGTCCATTAAAGCTGAGTATCGCGATCCAGAAGATACTACCTCTGTTATAGCAGGTGTCTCTTTTAGGACTTTGATACGTTTTTTGGGGTGACTGCCACTCGTTTTCTTTAGTGGGTTCTTCTTCCACATGTTTCTCATCAGTATTAGTGATCAGAGGCAAACTACTGGCCACTTCCATAAGAACAGAATGCTCTTTCCTGCTACTGCTCTTCGTTTTAGTCACCGACGACAACAGGGATTTCAACACTGTCTCTACCCTTACGGTGTCTGCTTCTTTTGTTTGTGCTGCTTTTTTATGAGTTGCACCTAAGTGTTGGCTTGCATCTTCCCTAGACGAGACATCTGCTGGCCTTTGCAAATTTTTTTAGGGCTATGCTTAGCCCTACATTCATCTCCAACATGACCCCATCCTCCACACAAGGAGCAGAACGGCGGCAACCATGGAAACTCGTACTCAACCTCCACCTGCGTTCCTTCCAAGTTAAAGCAATGAGAGCTCGGCAATGGCTTCGTTAGGTCAACTTTCACCAGTATGCGAGCAACATCAAATTGTTTCACCCATATTGTGTCAGAGTGCAACTGCTTTGGTGTACCCACTGGACTGGCCAAGAAACTGAGACCTTTCCAGTGATCCATTTTCCTTGGTATCTTTTTCAAGACGACCCATAACGGTATTGATTTTAACACCGGTTGTGCCTCCTCTGCAACTGGACTCCAGCGAGACACTATCATTGGGATATCCTTGATATTCCACATCCTTCGTCGCAGAACTCTTTCCCTCATACTTCGATCCTTGATCCTGAACTTGACAGTAGTAGCATTCACGACGTAAACATCGATCTTACTCTGTTTATCTCCCGTGGACCAGATTTTGTTCACGATCATGTGGATTGATCCCACATGTGGTGCAGTTTTGAGAAATTTTCCCACAATACAATCAGTCCACAAAGGGGCTTCATTCAACAGGGATTCCGGAACCCGGAAAGCCTTAACACCATCCACTTCCTCCTCATCCAAATCAAATCGCTGCAGAACCTCTGTTTTGCAAACAACATCAGTCCACGATTTGCCTGGATTTTCAGCTGGCTTTAAGACGTCTCCATCTTTGCCTAACAACACCGTACCACGATCAGATGATTCGACCGGAATCACCTCATCCACCTGAGAGTTTCCCCTTTGTAAAGCTTGGTCTCCTGACTGGCCCGCCTCATCTCTGCTTTCCAACGCTATCTCCATCGATTTGTTCCCCTCCGCCACTCCTACCTCCGTCCGTTCATTCGCCGGTGACGCCGGAACCTCCTGTTCCTGCGCTTCCATGCCGCCCGAGCCCTAGCTTGGGCAGGAAACCGAAAACACTAATTCGCCTTTGCTGTCGCCTTTGCTATCGCCCTCTGCTGACGTGTTAACAATTTGATTCGTCGATCCCTCACAATAATCAATACTTTTGTTTTGTATGGGTGGAACTTAACTCGGGTTTCTCTTGCTTATTGTGGACAAGCAAAATATAAGAAAGAGAAAATAATGTTCATGAAAGTGTTCGAGGGTAACTATAAAGTGGAATGGTCTATGGCTGTGGGGAACAATGGAAATCTACAAGATACGGGTTACATTAATTTGGTCCTATTATTTTATGTTAATTACAGTTACAAAACTTAGAATATGGAACTAAATTAACCCCTAGACCTAATTCTTGTTAAAGGTTTTACACAGACATGGGCGGTGCAAGGATCAATTAACGTCACATGTTAATGTCGTTTTGTTAAATGACGTTAAAATCCGTCTCTTTAAAAAGGTTAAAATCGGTTTAGAGAATATAATTTAGTGACGTTAACCAGCGAGTTTCTTGTAGTGGTTCCATTAGCCGCCACTCTTTATCTCTGATCCTGTTGTTCTATACACAAAATATAAAGTTTATATAAGAGAAGAGAAATTTGGCCCACAGTTTACAAAAGATACAAAGAATGTCGTTTACCATTGCTTTATTTTGCAGGATCAACCAACCGGTTATGGCAGACACCTATATCCACAAAAACTAAATATGTCAAAATGATTGTAAACAGCCGAGATATATTATTAACGTGAGCTTATTTCTGCATATGTAAACTCATACACACAAATGAGAACAAAAGAAAAGGATTAGTTTTTCCTTTTGAAATTGTCAGAAGAAACGATTTCTATGTTGTTGCATTCAAGTGCGCTACATATTATCTAATGAGAAGAGTCATTAAGAAATATTAACTGACCCCAGCAAAACGGGTGACCAGCACATGCCCTAACGTTGTCGCAACCGACTTTGACAACTCACGCTCCCTCCGATGCGACGGATTTAGCTTATCAAGCTTCGACATTATCGTCGTCAACATCTGTGATTGAGCGTGCATCTCCGCTTCTTGAGTTTGCAATCGTCGATCGAGAAACGTAATCCGCTGACTCAGTTCGTCGAACTTCTTCGCATTGTTTTCCCAGCCTTCTTTGATAAACTCAATATCAGCTTGCATCTCCATCGAGCTCTCATTCTCCGGTAATTGAGCTATAGGTTCTTCCATTTCCCACCTTGAATCGCGACAATTCAAGACGTCACAACGCACCAATTTGTTAAGTTTGTAACTCGGAACTCTCTGTAAAAGTATATATCTGATTGAATTTAAGAAGAGTCAGATACATTCACTGGATTGATCTCATCACGATCGAATCCCAATCAAGACTTATAGCGTCTGAGTTTGTTACAACAAGAAAATGTATAAGGAAGAAGAACATACAGAAGTCTATATTTATACTATCTATAAACGTAAACCCTCTTTTCATCAAAGAGTCTTTCTTGGTCAACTTGCAATGTTGACTAATCCTTCTTCTCCTCAGTTTTATTCGATTTCTTCTTCCTCACATATATTCTTCGCATCATATCAATTTCCCAATTTGTTGGGGGTGGAGCAACGATAACATCTCCCTCGAAGATATATCCATTTTTAAGGTCCTTGAATGTATCTAGCCGAAGTACTTGCAAAAATTCCCACAATGTTATTCATGTATTAGACCATATGCATTAAAGGTTCAAGGGGGATTTTTGGCACAAAAACATAGGCAAAGTGAAATAAATAAAAAAAATGTCATTTTCTTGTGAACCTGTCTCTTAGAGAAGGATTTTATGAACCTCATTCTAAGGGGCTTTTAAAATACGTGTAGGTTACTAATTTGTTTGTTCTCAAACAAATTTTTCACTTTCTCTCTCTTCTTCCACAATTTTCTCTCGACTATTATTCGAGTCCCAGCATTTTTTTAGAATCTGTGAACCAGGTTCACTAATGGAGACACAAAATTCACACAGATTCTTCTCTGTTCATATATCCCAAAAAAATTACTTTTATATTTTTATGAACCCCAAAGAAGGGTTTACTAATGTACATGCTCTTAAACGGCTTGGATTCTACATCTATATACAAAAATATTAAAGATTAAAAAATGTAGAATTAGTAAATATGTATGAACTATAAGACATGTACATACGTACGGATAGTAAAGAACTTATTTTCTTTTTGGTTAAAGACGAAAAAGCGGAGATCTGCAAACACCTCGCTGTTGACATGAGGCTTGTGCTATCTATTTCCACATACATTGATATAAACCCACTTCCATCGACCTTGTCGTTCCTTTTTGGGTATATGATCATTCTCCTGATCTTATTTACAAACAATATTGCATAAGTGAGGCTGAAACACTCTTTTTCAAAACTTAACGACAATAAAAGATAAAATTAGACTATTTAGGGACTAGTGGCACTAAATGAATCTGTGGTACGTACCAGTTGTATCCACCAGAGGAAAAACAACGGGATTGATATTTCCCATTAGAGAAGATTGTTGATTTCTGGAGTTAGGAGAAGTTTTGGATCTTTAGTGAATATGAAGATGGAGGACGTTCTCTCCAGCTCTTCAGGGTTGTTGAAGACACGCTTGAACACATTACTGTAACCAAAAACGACTTTTCTTTTAATCCATGTGAGGTTTTAATATTGAATTCAACCTCTAATCTTAACTCTTAAACCTGAACTACTTCGATCAATTGAGCGTGATACGTTTGTTTGTTGTTGATTCAAGTAAGACACAAGAAATTTGTTAATCTAGTTTCCTTTTGGTAGAGACTGTCCTCTCAATGATCCACTAGAAAACAGTCAAGTGTTTACAATAAAGATATCTCCTTGTCTCTCAACATCACGTGTTT